TTAAAAGTATTGAACAGTTGCAATAAGAGCAACACAGTTTTAAAAAAAGAGAATTGTTTAGAAATTGTAAAGTAGGATAAATTCAAACGAACCACGGAGAACCTTTCTGAAGATCTATTGTAATTTTAAACTATGTGGCCTTTAAATTCTTAGTTTCTGAAGTATTGCCTTTAGGAGATTATTAAAGGCTTGCCTCAAAGGGAAATTAATAAGAAAGGAAGAATGTCGTTCAGAGTTGACACATACTCAACACAAACTGGGGAACTGCTCCTTCATTAAATCTCTGGGTGAGTGTAGCTCTCCAGAGGACGTTTTGAGAACTGCAACCAAGAACACACTGTGCAGCTCCATCACAAAGACAAACAAATCCACCGTTCAAAAAAGAACTAAATCAAATTGAAAATGTGTTCCAGTAAAGTCCCGGCTGGAAATTTAATGGGCTTACAGCTGGTTTATCCAGTTAAATTCAGAAATTCATACTGGTAAGTCTCCTCCCCATGACGTATTCAGACCAAAGTTACGGTAAAGTGTTAAACATGAATAATTCAATGCCTCATTTGGTGTAACAAAATATGTTGTCTGAGGACAAGTTTGCTATTCTTGGCTTTGGGGCCTTTCAAAGATCTGGTCTGTGCTTTAGTTGTCAGTCTTGGTGTTTTTGCCAAGTACTGCCAGGTATTTTGTTTCAACTCAATGATGTGATTAAATTTAATTGCCAAAAGGCTACTCATAAAAGTGATTTGAAGTGACATGAGTGGACTCAGCAGAAAATAAATCTTGTTCCAGTATTTTGTGCTGCTGGCAGGACTGGCAAAAATGTTGTGTTTTCATTCAGGTCACTGGAGATGACGCAAAAAAAAAAAGAGAGGGGAAAAAAAAAGGATCACGCACAGTTAGATGTGTGTAGATGTGTTTCATTATAAGATCATCTAAGAGCAACCACTTGTTAATATTAAAATTATGGTTAATCATAACATCATCATAAGAGTGCTGATGTTTAGCGAGTAATAATTACCAGGTTCTCTCTTTTAGTTTAGCCTGTTATCATGCTAACATTTGCTAACTAGCACTGAACACAAAGTATTTCTGGGGCTGATGGAAATGCCATTATTTTGACCTGATAATAGTGCTGGAGGAAAGTTAGTGAATCACTGAGGTTATTAGAATTTATCCAGAGGGGTACAATAGTGTCTCTAAATATCATGGAAATCCATCCAATAGTTGTAGATATTTCACAAAAAGATAAAAATGTCAACCTGGTGGTGGCGCTAGAGGAAAAATCAGGGTGTCACTGAAGTCGGGTCTGTTTTAAATTAAATGGCAATCCATGCACTCGTAATGGAGATATGTCAGACTGGAAAAACAATAAACAATAAAACTATTTTAATGTGAAATAAAAAGTTTTTTTCATACATTTAAATTTGGTGGATTATAAGCAAGTAATACCACACAAGACACATGGACGCATGATTGATTTGCTGACTTTCTTTTTTTTTTGAGTTTGGAAGAAAATACAAGGCTTTGACGGTCTATAACAGAACTTCAGACAAATCTGTCGGGTGTCTGATCGTATGGGGGGTTTAAGTTTACTGTACAATCATTATCATACCTTAGTCATTAAACCACAACTATTTCCTGTGCCGACAAGTCATTGCCAACTCTATTCGTTCTCAGTGGTGCACTAAAAAAATGTTTTCACCAGATGTGGGGTGAACAATAGAAAATGTTCTGTTGGTGCTAAAAAGAATGGGGGGCAAACTCAATCGGCTTACTGGAATTGACCAAAGCTGATATTCCAAGAAATTTCCCCTCCCTCGTTCCAATTTTTTTGTCTCCCTGTATCATCTACTTCAGAAGCAAAGTATTTCCATCTGCGTCATGTTGTAAAGGAGCAATGTGGTTGAGTGCCACAGCCCTGACTGGACGAGCGAAAGAGTTTGTTTTGGCAAGCTACATTATATGATTCTCGCTCTCTCAAACTGTTGACCTTAATTAAAGTTCTGGGAATCTTGTACTACTGGGTCGGCAAATAAGGGAATTGGGTCTCAATTAATGCGGAGTTCAAAGGGGAGCCGGTGCAGACAACAGTAGGGTCAAGAACGATGAGTATGTGAAAAAAACAAAGAAGAAGAATCCGTTTCCTGGAATAGTTCATGGTTCAGTGACTGAAATATAATTAATTCACTATCTGCAGAAAAATAATGTTTATTTAGAGTAGATAAAGTTTGCTCATAGTTATTAAAAAAAAGATAACTGCATAAAAACCTCACACCCATGTAGACATCTCAGTCTCAAACATATGCACCAGTGCCTCCTTTTTCTTGTTGTGTTAATACATTTGACCAAAGACTAAAATTAAAGCTATTTCCTGTATATTTAGTTTTGTAAGTACATAATATCATTTCAGTTAGTTTTTGTTTTTTTCAAAATTCTAGTTTTTATTTAAATTTTCAAACTAAAATATATTTTTTCACGCTGAGTGCACCCTAAGTTTTAGTTCACCTTAAGTCAACTATAATAACCTTGCGCAACACCTTCTGCACAATAACCAGAAATTACCATAGCAGGGATTCCCTCGATATGAAGAAGGTGGAAACATCCTCCAGAAGTTGTGACAAAACTTTTAATTGTCAACAAGAGCAGCTTAAGGACAGTTTACATCTCTGACGTACATATATGTGTTTTGGAATTTCTGAGAGGCATGCAAGACATGCACATCTCTTTGTTGTCTCTGTATGTCTTCAAGTAGAGAACATAACTGGCTGATCTATTGTCTGTCTGTTTCTGTGTGACTAATGTTTGCCTTATTTATGCTTCATACTTTTCCAGCCTCTTGTTCATTCCAGCGTTTTCACACTGTTAGATATGTCACCATTGCAGAGCTCACCCTTCATAAAAGTCATTACATTCTTTTGTTTTTGGATTTTGAGGAGAATTTCACTCAGCTCTTATCGAAAATAGTAAGGCCCAGGAAATAGCCATAGCGCTGAGGAGCTTGGAGGTTGGACACTGACACTCTTAGTCTCCTTTCTAACACTTTTTTGGCATCAACACACAAATAGGGCACACCTGCAGGTCATACAAGCGAAGAGAAGCCTGAATGCATTAAGAGCTAGCTATAACCATAGTGTAAGAGCTTTTCGACATGGAGGCTTTGCATGTCACAAACAGAGGAATGAGGCCTCCTTTTTAGCCTTCAGCTTGCTCCATTTGAGCCAACAATATAGTGAGTGGAAAGATAGAGGGACAATAAAATAAAGTCACCGCACTAGGCTCGTCACAGCATGTTAGCCTGCTGGTTTATAGCATTAGCAACTGAGTATTAAGCTCAGCTAACAAGCTAACAGCATGTTAGCAAGAAACTGTGTATTCAGCGCTAGTGTTGTGTCTCAGTTAGCGCTCGGTCAGTTGAGACCGTTCGGGATTCAACACAGTGAACTTCATGGCTCGAGGAAGTAGTACCAAACATTTTATTTCACAATCAGGTGTCGTGAAAATATATGTTTACATAATAGGGCAGGACTTTACAACAGCCTTCAGTTTGCAAACAGGATCTTTATCCAACTAAATTCTCCACTGACTGGCTTATCCTTCACAAACAAAAAGGTTCTCAGTTCACTAGTTAGTGAGCTGAACTGAACTCTTGGCCATGTTTCAGTTCAGTGAGTGGGACTACGCAGTCGGACCTCTGGTCAAGCACTGAACGATTCATTGAACAAATCTTTTTAATTAACTAATTCTACTGAAAAGAACTGTTTTGTCCATCACTGGCTCAACTAACAAGCTAACAGCACATTAGCGAGATACTGAGCATTCAGCACAGAAACTAATTGCACATACACTCAGGTAGCAAGCTACTGCTAGCCAAAATAAAATAGCCTCAACATAAAGTGTTATCGTAAAAATAAAAATAAAAATAATATAACACAAGCTCACTTAAATGTATTTGCTGACTTAACTGGGTTAATGACTTTAGTAAACTTCTGTAAGAGAGACTCAAATAGAACAAGAATAATACTTTTACTTTGTTGTTGGTCACAACAAGGGAACTCCACACTGATTTAAGATATAGGCATACAAAGAGGAACATTCCTGCAGTACGCAGCAAAACCTCTCTTCCATAGCCTACACACACACACGCTTTGTGGAAGGAGCATTAGGCCTTCAGACAGACCTAAAAAAAAAAACACACCACAGTTTACGAACCGTGTGTGCCGTTATTATGTTTCTATTTTTAACTTCTTGCTGCTGCTTCTGTCTCTAACAACAATACAAACAATAAAAAACAGGTAGAAAACGTCATAAGTACCACGTTCCAGCAAAGAAAATTCCATTCCATGTATATCTCAAAATAAGATAAATAGTTTCAAAGACACATGTAAAGAAAATCCACGGAGGAGTGATGGTAGGCAACAAGATGATGACTCACTTCCTTTATTCTATAGCCTATTACAAGATGAATAAATTCCAGTTTCTCATGGAATATTAAATTTCACGTATGTATAAAAGGGCATTTACGTAAATGTTTCACAATTCTTCTCAATGTTTCACAATTCTTCTCAATGCTTCACAATTCTTCTCAATGTTTCACAATTCTTCTCAATGTTATCATCCGTTTCTTTATTTATTTGGTTGTGCTCATGGGTATTAGTGGGTTGGCACAGCATGATGCCAGCTCAAGCTACAATCTACCTACACATGTTCCAGTACTTAAAGGTAAAAAATGTAATTGTGACATCAAAAACAGGCTTATAGACGCAGACGCACGTCCATCAAGTGAAATTCTCTAACAAGAAAACAAAACTGATTTATCTTTTTTTATAGCTTGTCCTGTGGATTTCTGCATAATCACAGTGTGCTGATAAGCTGACCTGTAAGGGTCAGGTTCAGGTTTGAGTCGGGGGGGAGGAGAAAGGAGGGGAATGGATGCAGGCAAGACTCAAGTTCAGAGCAGACTATTTAAATGAGGGAAACCTGCAAAGAAGCATGTGTGTCATCTCTCTGTCATTCAGTGTTACAGGAGCACAGCCACAAGTCCAAAACACAGGTAAGACTATTATATATTTCACAGTATATATATGTGTGTGTATAATAGTGATAACAACAATACCAGTAATACTCTGCTTCTATTCAGCTGAACACATTTAAAAGGAAAAAAATATTTATTTGCAATGCGAAAGGAAAGCTAACTTTGTATTTATTTTTATTCACTTTTTTAAGGATGCACGTCACTCTGGCCCTTCTTTATGTCTCTCTTGTGGTGATGCCGGGATGTCTTCCCACGAAGGGAGAATCTATCAGAAATACCATAAACAGCATAGTAAACATAGCTCAGATAACCCTGGTCCACATTAGGAAACTAAGGACAAAGGTATGCACAGTGCTTAATGTACACATAGTCTCAGAACACTTATATCATGGTAATGTAATTGTATAAGTAATACATCATTAAATTAAGGAAGATTTCATAATTCAAGATTAAACTGAACTGTCTATTGATATACAGCTTGTGTTCTTTTCCATAGTTGCCGGTGGCTCCACAGATAGAAGTCAACACTCCTTCCATTGAGGGACTAACTAGTATCACTCATGACCTTGGACTTTTGGATAATGAACTGCAGAGCCCTTTCACAGACCTCCTCAGCCAGATCCAGGCTGATGTCTCCAGCTTGGAGGGAAGGGTACACTCCCTGGCCCAGACAATGGACTGTTCCATCCGGGCTAGACCCGAAGGAGAAACCAGTGACAATTTGTTCCCGGACAGTCACCTTTACTTGACTCTGATGAAGGTGCAGCGTTACCTGGAAAAGCTTCTTCTTAACAAGGACAAGCTCAAGGTCTGCTGAGAAATCCACACCTATAATCACACATATGCTAAGTCTTATTTGCACAAATTGCTCAGTTAATAATGTAATTTGTCTTTGCACATACTACTATTCTTTTTATAAAATGTATCTTATTGGACTTCTTTCACATAATGATGTAATGCTCTTTCTCTGGTTGGCATGTAATGCAAGTAGCTTTTGAGGTGCATATTTTTTTATATTTAATAGGATGAAGAAAAATTATTGAACTATAGGCTTATTTTTTATGATCTATAGACTTATTTATATAACCTGAATTATATTTAAATTGTTTAAATATTTTGGGGGAAATATGTTTCAATTTGAATGGTATGGTTTTCAATTTAAAACATGTTTTGTATGTTGGTATGGTTATTCTATTATGTGCAAGATTTATGAGGAAAATGTATTCAGTGAGTATGGAATGTTAATGGTATTTGATTTGAAGTGCACTGTTTATGGTTATATTGAATCTAGCAGACACATTAAGCTTATGGTCAATAGGAAATGTATTTGATTTATATTAAACATTTTAGTCAATATTTGGTGCCTGTTTTTTTTATTTTATTCTGTTATTCTGTTACTAAGTTTTAAACCATAGTGTATTTTTTACGATGATCTCAACACTTGTGTGTTATTCTGAAAACAAATCAAATGGTTTTTTGAAGTCTGGTCGACCACCTCTGGAGAGCATAAAAACATTATTTACATGCTTTAATATTATACAATAATATGTGTTGATTAAACTTAATTTCAGTATTTGAGTTTACTCAAATAAAGTAATGAATCAGTGTCAGGTGAAAATCTTAAATTGAAATGTGTCTTTCTGTAAAATACACACAATATGAATAATGACAATATAAGACACCATGCGAAACACCAAACTGAAATAGTCAAATTTGAATGAGAAGCCTATATTAAAAAAGACTAACCAAGTATAATTAACCAAGTATGTGTTTTATATTTTGCACTTGAATGGTGGCCATATTGGACCAGAATATTTCTACAGTTTATGTCCTCAAGAAAATAAATTATCAGATTATTATTTTATACAGTGAACTCTTATGTTTGTAATTTTTTTATTATATTCATTCTGAAATGAATTATTATTTTCAGTTTCATGTACTTTTTTTCAGTTATTTCATCACTGAGCAATGGATGAAAAATTACTTAAATTATACAAAATAGGATTTATGATGGCAAAAACCTAATCTAAAAATATAAATAAATCATAACAGTGGAGAGAAATAATTTTTTGTACTTACTACAAAGAATTATCTCTCATAGATCATGAATGTTCCAATAAAGGCTGAACTCTGAACCACATAAAAACACACGGATACCAACATCATCATCATCATCAGCGCGGCCTTGTGATTCATACACAGCTGTAACGTGTTACCGCACATTGAATACCTCAGCCCTCACGTTAAAAACAGGGAGCGCTCACAGTTGCATTTAATGCTTTTATACATGAGACAGATGAAGATTGAAATTATTTTATACTATAATTATCCTAACATTCTGTGGCAAAATTAATCACACATTAATTCACATTAAAATGGAGTGGAAATAATTAATTAAAATATGAATTTAAAGAGAAGGATCTGTGCCAAAGAGGATCAGTCACTGCTCTGCATTACACACGGGATGTGAAAATAGGTTTTTGTAGTACACATTCCACAAACTTACCATTGACAACAAAAGTATTTATACAATAACACTGCACAGTACATACAGTATCTATAAAAATATGAGTCATCAATGACACGTATATGAAAAAAGTAATAAAGTTTAACTATCTTTGTTTTGTTTTCTTCCTGGGTACCCAGTGTTGCATTTGTGATTTTGAGTTGAGCTGAAGAATAACGGATTGCATTTTATGGGATAAAAAAACAATCACTTATAGAACTTCAAAGCTAATTAGAATGACAAATCAGAATTGTCTTTAGGCACAAAAAAGAGACTCAAAACTACGATTGGCTGCACAATATAATCCAGAACCAGGAGAAGGGAAAATAAAACAATAATTAGGCAAAAGTATTTTACTTGAGGCAAAATCTAAAGCTTGTTCACTTTTATATTAGTTAATAGTAGTTTTTTTTTAATTTTATTTTTTTCTTAAAGTTAATACAAAATGGTTCTTATACCTCACAAAGAGCATTACCACAAATGAGAACAGCTTTACACATGAAATCCAAACTTATGAGAAGAATATATTATAGTAGAGATATAGACACATACATTTGAAAATTAAATATTTTGTGTAAAATGTGGCTTTCACAATTCTCATATTCATCCCCCCTTGTTTTGTGAACAAAACTTGAAAGAGATCCAGCAAAGGATATCTGAGTTAATTAAAAAAATAAAAATTAAGCCTTCACTTTTTTTCAGAGAGCTGAGAGTACAATTCAAAACACAGGAAGAAACCATGTACCACACAGACATGGGAAGATCTGATGAAACAGTCACAAAAGCCGTAAAGCCCCTTGTATTCCGACTTAATCCATCCATACAAATGTAATACCAGCAGTTTGACCAGCAGATGTCACTATTTTGACTGCATCAAATGCTTTGAAACTTGTAGCACAATTTCTTTATATTGATTTAGAGCTTCAGAAAGCCAAATTTCCACCAACAATAGTTAACATTCTGAGTTTAGGATTCTGCACGTACCCATGTTTTCCCCAATCACTCACCTTTCTTCTAACCCATAGCCATTCACTGGAACTGGCTGCAGTGTCTGCCATGTTGTTCACTGCTGGATATAGGGCCCTTTTACACTCAGTTCAGTTAATCTTTTTCTACTGCATCCTCCTATAGTACTGTCAGCTCCACAAAACACACAACATGCTGTGTTTCTGACTACAATACAAAATCAGTGGTAAATCTCCTGAGAGCTGTTTTCCTGAATCTCAATTTCCAGTCCTTCCCTGCCTTTAGCTGCCCTACATCATGCCTGTTCAAAATCCCTTGCTGCCTGACCTGCTCACCCTCACAGCTGAGGGGAGGAGCTGTAGCAGCAGATACAAAACCTCAAAGTTGCCATGGTTTGATTCAGTCAGTATTAATAGTAACAGTTTGCCCAGCCATTATTGTACATGTTCTAGTGGGAGATATCAATTCGAGTGAATGAGCCTCTAAAAGTCTGGTAGAGTAGCCACAGTGATAAACAGAATCACTAGGTTTAGAACAAGAGCCATCAACATAAAATCACTTCATCTTCAAAAGGAGTGGCAGACAATTCAGTTCTTCAAGCTTCAAGAAGAACTATTTAATGCATGAGGAGCAGACACAGTGTGTTTTGGAGAGTTTATGTGAAACAACTGTACTGGATTAGATGTGGAGGAGGTTGAGATAGTCAGGCCCGCACTAGCAGTCAATGTGTTTTCATAACCACTTCTTCTTTGCGCAGTCATGCACTGTAAAGTTAAGTTGTTCAATGCGGTGGTAACCCAATGTGCTGTGTGCAGAGTAAGAAGATGTGAGAACAAATCATTGTATTTGCAGCAAAAGCTCCTAAGCAAGCTGTTAGTGGTTGTGACATATACTCATGAGAGTTGGATAAAGACAGCAGAAACAGATGTCCTTGTCCTTGTCCTGTTCAGGCTTATACCATATCAGGATAGAATATTAGCTTGTATGTTGTAGGTGTGTCTTGTGGTGAACATCTGCAAGGGTTGTTTATCAACCGGTTAGTGTATTTCTCTGGACTATGGCATGCTGCTCTGCTGTCAATTTTAAAGCTGATCTTTTGTGTGTGTCAGTGTCTGCATGAGTTTGAAGAGAAGATAATTATTTGTTGGAACATTTATAGAGAATCCCTTCTTTGTGAAAGTCAGTGAAAAGGAAAATGATACAATTCACAGCAAGACTAATCACTGGAAGGTTCAAAAGCACCAGTTAACTTTTCTAGCATTCTAGCAACATTCTCCACACTTGGAGGATGCATATTGGCCAACCATGTTGAAATAAATAATCCGGCAATTCATCAGTCAATGGCATGCATGCATCCTTGACCCATGTTTTCGTAAACCTTATCACAAATGCACCAGTGGATTCTCCTGATCTCTGTTTACAGTTTGCATCATGTCTCGTTTGGATTTGTTCATTTTGGTTAAGGAATTTGTCAGATCCTTCCAAAATGTTGTCATATCGGTGGGTCTAGCCCAAACGAAATTGCTGACTTATCTTTAATCACTTTTATCTTTTTGAGTACAAAGGAAATGCCCTTCAAGTGAAACTCAACATGAACAAGGACAGCACCCTTCCTTCTAAATATAAACACCCCTTACTGTAAAATACAAATCCATCAGACAGAGAAACACTCTTTATACATACAACATTCAAATTATGGAATCCTGGAGAATCCTGGTAAATCACTAATTTTGTGACTCACTTCAGTCAAGGACTCAACTTCTTAGTTCCTTCCTAGTTATTTCAGTAGCTGCTGACTTGACCACAGAGAGTTTGTCAGCCTGCCACAGAGCTCTCATCTCTGTTTAAAATTAATTTATTAATTATTATACAAGGTACTTGTTTTCTTGTATTCAGACGTATCATCCTGGCCTCAGATTGAATCCATACATACAAATGCAATACCAATAGTTTGGCCAGCAGATGTCGCCATTTTGGCTATAGTTCAACGAAAGCCAAGTTTCCCCCTACACCAGTTAACATTATGAGTTTAGGATTCTGCACTTGCCTATGTTTTCCCCAATCACCCACCTTTCTTCTAACCCACAGAAATTCACTGGAACTGGCTGCAGGGTCTGCCAGGGACCCTTTTATACCCAGTTCTCTTAACTGCTGCCAACTTTATAGACCTAAGCTTTTTCCTCTCATGGGCCATTTCTACTCCATCCTCCAATAGCAGTGTCAGCTACACAAAATACACTCCCCAACAAACAAAATCCCACTACGCACTACGATGTAAATCTGATGGTGATTTTTTGCTGAAATATATAGAGTAAATACAAAAAACAGAGGTGCTGCTAGGAACAGTTTTATTTCACATAATGTGCAGAAACCAGATCTCTGGTATCAAGTGTAACAACAGTATCAACATCCCTGTGCAAGCAGCACATAACTGAACCTCCACAATCATCTATTAAATATTGCATATCACTCCAAATGTAATCTCAACAACAGTAGAGTCATACAATTGAGGGTGCTCAAAAAGAACAAATGTCTTAAATTACATTACTATTAAAGCTGCAAGATAAAATAATAAAGATAAAATAAGTGCATTCTCTTTGAAATAATAAAGCAGCTTACAGTTGACTGTCAAACTAAACCTTTACTCCTGCATCAGTTGAAAGTTTTGCTTTGCCTGAGCAATTAGGCAGTGAGTTCAAGAATTTGTCCAAGGTAGAGAGGTAGTCTTCCGGGTGGCATCGCATGTGGGCTGCATGTATCGATTCCTTCCACTTTTTGCTCTCCACAGTCACACCCCTCTTTCTCCATTGGTCCATACAATTCTCAACGACAACTATGTTGCACAGGGGATCGTTTTCACAGGAGAAAAAGAGGGCTGGTGCAGTAATCGGGGTGTTGTTGAAAACCTGGATGCTGCTGTCATAGATATCGGCTGTATGGGTTTTGAAGAGCCAGAAGTAAAGCATGGCGGCGTTTTTGACAAAGCCCTCGAAACGTGGCACCAGAGTCTTGCCAAGGCCTGAATAAAAACAAGAGACAGAGGGTTAAAATTTCATAATGAAGAGTACAATTACGCACAACACAGTACTGTACAGGGCTGGGTATCAAACTTCAATACTTTATGAGTATTGACAGAGACACTCCAGAGCACTCTCACCACCCAGAGCAATAATTAATGTATAATGTCATGGATTAGCCAGTGTTTGGTTTGTCTGTTCTGGGGTACTGTAGAAACATGGTGGTTCAACAAAACAACAAAAAAAACAGGATTCTTATTTTATCTATCAATATTATATTCCATTTCTGCCTATAGATCCTCCTGAATGTTACATACTGGACTTTTAACCCCCTGGTTTTTTATTTCTTTTGGCCTACAATTGGTTATATTTTGGCAAATTGGCACCATTTGAAGCATACCAAATTAGCTATTAGCAGTTCCTGATAGCAAAATAGAAATCCTTAGTTGCAGCTAAAATCTATTAATTAACTTTAATTCATTCTGAATATGAATAATCATGATGAATGTATACACTGCAGGCACTGTCCTAAGGGAGGTTGGAAACAAGCTGCAACAAGTAATTCGTGGACTGCTGATAAACCGGATCAGTGGGTCAGCTGGCTACTGAATTATTTAAAGATCTGACACACATTTCCAACACAAAGGTAACCTGAGCCGGATCACTCTCACTCACCAATCGCCATGTGCTCCAGAGTGCCAGCCACTAAGCTGTCATAGATGTGCCCTATCACCCTCTGGGCCAGCACTGCGTGTTTTTTCGGCCCCTGGCTGATGTGGGCGAGCATCTGGGTGAAAGTGTAGCCACCGATGGAGGAGGCGTGGACCAGCAGCGCCCGCTCTGAGAACTGAGGCTCCTCCAGAACTTTCAAAACCTCCAACCCGTAGTCGAGCCCCCATTGAGGCCACAGGAAGTGCATTACATTGCTCCGGACCACGAGGACATCTATGCCACGGTCCAGGTATAGGTCCCTGTACTTGGCCACTGCCCCTGGCTGGGCACCGAGCCAGGAAAAGAACAGAAGGAGGGGGCGGGGAGGGGAGGCAGATTCTGATTGGTTTTGGGAGGAGGCAGGTGTGTGTGAAGGTGAATCTGAGATCAATGGAGAGGTGGAAGGATCCGCAGAGGAGTCACTTAGGGGTGAGACTGGACAAAGAGCAGCGGCTGTTTGAGAGTCTTTGGCAGGACATAATGTCTCTGAGAACGGAGTGTAATAATAAGTTATGCTGCTGCTGATCCTCCGCACTATGAATGTCCCTCCACTGACACCGTCTGCAGTCCTGAAGAAGAATGAAAGACAAACCAAAATCAGTGATTGTTATAATAAGAAATGTATACTAGATAATATTGGGTATGCCACAGTATGAAGCGTAAATACAACAAAGCAAAATCACAAGTTACTCCATTACCATTTTAAAATATTAGAAATGACATGCTATAATGTGCTACTTTAACTAATGCAGCTTTTTCAGCTCATCGTAAGTTACTAAACAGTACGGCATTCAGTCGGCATCCTTTTGGCAGATTCTATACTGCGTTAGTGGAAAAACAGACAGTGTGTGGTACAGCAGAACCACACCATGAGTGTTCATTGCTTTTTTTGCAACTTGACTTCACTATAAACCAGGATCTGTCTTGTTTAACGTTTGAGAATTTGTCCTCACTACTCTTCCTTCTTTTTTTCTAACCACCATGAAAACATTTTTTTTCTTTTTACCGTAAAAGGAGGAAGTAAGTATATATCCAGTGTTGACATGGCCAGTGTCAGTGCAACACAGTTAAGTAGCATGTTTTTGCTGTGGTTTTCTGTCCCACTGCAGCCATTTTCACATGAAATAGTAGGGTAAACACTGGCACTACTGACACTAATTAAAGGCTCTGTTCCATTTAGTGTAGCAGAGCCTTTGCAGTGAGCCAACATGCACTATAGCCCTGACTCTGTTTGACCTTGATGGAACATAACCTTAACTGGTAACACCTGTGTTTACCCTACTACTTCATATCAAAAATGGCTGCTGTGAAAAAGGTCCATATTGCTGTTTATATTATTAATTGACAAAGGTAGACAGCCCACAAACATTATTATTAGCTATTATTGATCCTTTTTATTTGTATCTATTTGTATTACTTTATATATTTCATCTTAGTGAGTTGGTTCTTTACTTTACTAATGTAGGCTACATTTCTTCCATAGGGTTGCGGTTGTCATGTCAACCATACTCTGTGCGATACAGATTAATAAGATTGATAACAAATACATACATCCCCACAAATCCATCCTACATGCATAGGTTGCCATCTTGTCTGCAGGGGAGGGGGGATTAGCTACACTCCCAGGCTTGAAGCTGAGCTCCACTCTGCACCCATGCACCCATGCACCCACCGTTGAAATGGGTGCAGTATGCGGATGCAGCACAGCATCAGCCCGCCTCCTTTTCTCTTCTCTTCTTTTTTTTTTTTTTT